TGTGACTGGCGTCTAAAGGGGGTGCGGGTGGGGGGGCGTTACCTTGGGAACTGAGCCCTCAGCCTGGTGGGTTCTGCCAGATGCTGTCTTTAGGCCATCAGGGTTGGACTGGATTGGATTGGATCAGAGGATGCACAGCTCATGTTTGCTGCAGGACTGATGGCTGCTGGTCAGGAGAAATCTCCACATATTTTACAGTCACAGAAGTGATCCATATTGTGAGAAGACTCCAGGAAAAACTGCTTTTCTGCGCTCATAGTACCTATTAGCAAGATTTTTATTTTTTAATATTCCCCGATGTTTGAGCCAGAATAAAGCACACACTTTCATGTCACTATTCAAACATTGTCTCCATTATGATATGACAGAAATAAACTCTAAGATTAGCAGAGACTTCAAAACCTTGTGTTTATTGATGACATCTTCCCCTCTGCCACCAGAACAATAGGCTCTGCTTCGCACCTGGACTATCTGCAGGTTGGGAAATAGGGCCTTATTACTGTTGTTATTTTTTAAAAAACAGAAATGGCTTTTTAAGGTGTAGAAATCTCTCATTTGGACAGATTCAGTCTAAACTGAGGAATCAGCAGGGAGTTGGAGCAGTGGACAGACTCTCCTCCAGCAGTCAGCGGCAGCCCTGGTTACATAAGCTGCAGTGTGCGTGTTACTTGGTCAGGACTGAGGAGCACACATGCATATGTGTATGCTCTCTGTCTCTGAAGTTAACAACTTTGGAATAGCTTTATGCTTGTGGAGAAGTTGCAGAGATGGTACAGGGTCCCCATGTGTCCCTCATCTAGCTCCCCTCAGGGTAATATCCCCCTTGCCATGGACTGACGGGGTGCATGACTTCTAACTCCAGGTTTCATGTGGGTTTCCAGTTGTCCTGTGACTGCACCCCATCCTGCATGTGGCCACAGTGTATCCTTTGTCTCCCCTCATCTGAGACTCTCTCAGGTTCCCTTGTTTTTGGTGACCCGGCCAGGTTGATAAGTCCTGGTCAGGGGTTTTGTGGGATGTCTCTTGGATGTGCCAGATTTCAGGGAAGAGCTCTCGGAGGTGATGTGTCCTTATCACATCATGCTGTCTCAGGGGGCCTGATGTCCATGCTGTAAAGGTGGCTCTGGTCCCCTGGCCAAGGAGTGTGGGCCACCTTTTTCCCCCATAAAGTGACTTTTTTCCTCTTTTTATTTTCTGTTCATTGTTTAACTTATGTTGTTAAAAACCCTCATTTCATTTTTGTAATTTGATGGTTAAGTCCTTGTTGAAAAAGAGCTCTAGAGCACTGATCTTCGCTGTAGTTTTATTTTTCCGCATTGAAAAGCAGTCCCATTCTCTCTAGTGAAAACCTAGTAGATTTCAATGAAAAGGAGACTTGATATCTAAAAGTCGAATTCTAAAGATAGGGACAGCCCAGAATAAAAGAGCGAAGGAAATCAAACTATTGCTTCCTCAGAAGCCTTTCCTCACCCTGCGTCTTCAGCAGCACCCCTTCCCCTATGATGGTGCAGCCTTTGTCTAACCATCATCCATTCTCTCTAGTGAAAACCTAGTAGATTTCAATGAAAAGGAGACTTGATATCTAAAAGTCGAATTCTAAAGATAGGGACAGCCCAGAATAAAAGAGCGAAGGAAATCAAACTATTGCTTCCTCAGAAGCCTTTCCTCACCCTGCGTCTTCAGCAGCACCCCTTCCCCTATGATGGTGCAGCCTTTGTCTAACCATCATCCCTCCTAGTGCTGCTGCCACTGGGGACATGCTTGCCTCTCTGTCCACAGGGGGCA